CATCTGCCGCCGGCATCGTTTCTGCATACAAATGGTCTTCATACTCTCTGCTCGGCGACAGGACGTTCGAGCAGCAGGGCTTGGGCCGTGTCGCATCGGGCCCCGTGGGTACTATCTCACCCTGCCATGTTAGTGCATGAACGAGTCAAGAATTAGGCATTTGACGCCCAAACAAATCAGGGGTTGAGACATACTGAAACAATGGCTTATCCCTTCGAAGATTCCATTTGACCGTTGCCGTCCTTACCGTGTCTTCCAATTCAGAGCGGAAGTAGGCCACCGTCTTGCTCAATCCCTCCCGCACAGGCACTCGCGGCTGCCAGCCCAAAACGTCCATGGCTACCCGGATGTCAGGCTTTCGCTTGGCTGGGTCGTCCTTGGTGGCGGGCATGTGGACGATGGCGGAGGGAGAGCCCACAACCAGCTCCTTGACAAGGAGGGCGAAGTCTTTCACGGTGTATTCCTCGGGATTGCCCAGATTGACCGGGAGGCCGTAGTCCGAGTTCATGAGCTTCGTCAAGCCCGTCACCAGGTCCTCCACATACTGAGGGGGTCAGAGGGAGCGGGCGGGGGAAGGGACGTGGGCGGTGAGCGCGGCGATGGGAGCATTCTTTCCCCTCCAAGAGAGCATTCTTTTCCCTCCGCGAGAGAGCGTACCTGGAAAGAGCGGGTCTGGTGACCCTCGCCGTAAATAGTGATGTCCTTACCCTGCAGGGCCTGGATGATGAAGTTGCTGACCACGCGTCCGTCGTTCGGGTGCATGCGCGGGCCGAAGGTGTTGAAAATCCGCGCCACCCGGACGTCCACGGAGCTCTGGTTGTGATAGGCGTACATCATCGTCTCCGCCACCCGCTTCCCCTCGTCGTAGCACGCCCGGGGCCCGATAGGGTTCACGTTGCCCCAATAGGACTCGGGCTGGGGGTGGATTTGCGGGTCGCCATACACCTCGCTGGTGGAGGTCAGGAGCATGCGGGCCCGGACCCGCTTGGCGAGGCCGAGCATGTTCAAGGTGCCCATGGTGCTGGTCTTGATCGTCTTGATCGGGTTGTACTGGTAGTGGGGGGGGGAGGCGGGGCACGCCAGGTGGTAGATCTGGTCCACCTCCAGGAGGATGGGCTCTACCACGTCGTGCACGATGAGCATGAAGTGGGGGTGCCCGATCCAGTGCGCCACATTCTTTTTCCGCCCCGTGAACATGTTGTCCACCACGATCACCTCGTGACCCTCGGCCATCAGGCGGTCGACCAGATGGGAGCCCACAAAGCCCGCCCCCCCTGTCACAAGGATCCGCCTCCGCTGGCCCTCGCTCAGGGTCGCCGTAGGCGGGTAGAGCTGTCCTAGCTGCTCCTGTCGGCTTACCGTCCGCTCTCCGTCCCCGCGTGTCCCGGGCCGGGCATGTGGGGCTTCCTGTCTTCGCTTTTTTTCCTCTTCGGCCATGGCCGCCAAAATCTCCGCACGGACTTCTTCTTTGATCGTTCTCCGCAGCTCCTCAGAGACCAGCACTGGCTTATGACTCTCCACCTGTCGACCGTCGTGCTGCAGCATTTGCATCCCTCCGTTTCCTCCTTCATCTCCCCCGCGGACGTGGGAAGAGGAGGCGCGGAGCACCAATGGCTCCCGGCCGAAGACGTAGTTGACGGATATAACCAAGGCCAAGGCCCCGACGATGAATAGAAAAGCGGTTCGAACGCTAGAATTTAGACGATGTCCGGTACTGCTCCCGAACCAATGTCTGAAGGAATGGCTCATTCTGGGCGCCTCGTCTCAGGTTCCAGATGGGAAGAAAATACAGGACACATAAGAAATAGAGGAAGAAAGTCATCCGAATCCTGACCCTGCATGACTGATTGATTGCCGTAGACATTTCTTCCACCCGAAAAACATCAGAAGAATACGGGAAGAGGGCATCGGATCGAAGGAATGCAAACGAGACTCACCAGCTGTAGGCAGCAGAGTATACTTCCCGCTAGAATTGCCTGAGTTTGTCGAGGGGTCCTCCCTGCCCAAGTCAAGTACCTGAAACACCCTCTCCTTTTCTTTGCGGCTACTGTTTTGGCGTTGCGTGCTTCTTTCTGGAGATGGTACAACGTACTCAAGCCTCCCGCCTGTTGGTCCTAATCGGCGTCTGTGATAGCTGATGTAGCTCCAATTGCCCTCCCCACGACTTCCCGTTGACGACGGCACGTTTTCTTTTTTATACAGACGTTTGTGGAAAATCATGGGAACAGAACGGTCAGTCGCTGGGTGCAAGCATTGTTTGTTAATTTGGTGTCCAGATTGGAATGCATCCAAGGAAGGCTTGGCGAGACTCTGCCCGAAGAAAGCCTTTCTTGTGCACGGGAACGTGGACCCCAGGATGGTGGCCTAACATCATTTCACAAATTACCAGCGTCTGGCCGCAGAGAACTGACGGATGCATCTGCGAGGCGCTGGCATGTTATATACACATGCACATGTATATGTCCGGCCGAGAAGACAGTTCAAATTTCAAATCATTTCCATGTGCGTGTTCGCTGTTTTTCTATAAGAAACGCGGTAGCACTAGTGGCTAATGTCGCCATTTTTTTTTGTCAACATGTGCTGCATAATTCTAATGGCGCTTGCTAGCATTTGTAGTACTTTAATGCTTATCATCCACAGTCTTAAGCGAACTAGTCTGTTGGGCATGGATATTGTATTTCAACATCAAAAAACTCTATTCATGAATGACATGCACACATGTAGCAGCATATTTACCAAAAGATATACAGTACAATCACAGTGAATAATCACGTATTGATATCTTTCCAAGAATGATTTCTTAATTTGTTTATGTACATAGTAGGTCGAAAGCGGCCAAAGTTTTTGAAAAGATGAGAAAGAACATCTGTCACTAGACGAATATGCTCTCATTTTCCAAGCAAGGTTGACCCCTCAATGCTTGTTGCTCTTGCCATAGCAAATATCAAAGCTGTGGACCTCAGAAAGTCCTAGGAAAATTTAGAACTCATTTCTCATCCGTTCTTCCGTAGAAGTCAACTAGTCGCACAGGCTGCACCTACATAGGGTCATATCATACGATTCAAAATTGATCACATATACTGGACAACTCGTATCACGTAGAATGTGGGAGTCTTTTGGTCCTATTCAGTCCCTTTCATGTCATTCGTTGCAAAGAAGCAGACAAACTTCATCAAACCTGCTTCAGCGTACTTTCTGCAGAGCTAACGGTATATCCTGTCCCGTCCGGCTCTATTGATAAAGATTTCACAATTCCATCCTCTAAGACCATCGAGAAACGCTTACATCGCTTCCCTAGGACAGCTTTCGTCAAATCTAATTCTAAGCCAAGGGCATTGGTTAGCTCCCCGTTTCCATCTGCTACAAAACTTATTTCATCGCCTATACCTTGGGCTTTGGCCCAAGCCTTCATAGTAAAGAAATCATTCACTGCCAGGACCGCAATTTTATCGACGCCCTTTTGTTTGAAGTCCCGCGCATGCGCAAGATATCCTGGAACATGTTTTTCGGAGCACGTGGGGGAAAACGCCGCTGGAAGGCCAATTAACACCACCTTCCCTCTGAAAAAGTCGTTGCTCGACACATCAGAAACAGTATCGCCTGTCACCTGTGAAAAACCGTGTTTGACTTGCCTTGTCAGTAAGTGCGTCCGCAGTCGTGCTAATTGAGGGAAACTTCGGCAGATTCCGTGCTGGTTGTTTGCCTTGCAGAGCCAATTCTCGTGAACCCTGATGCAGGCGCTGCCCGTGAAAATAGTGGTAGCACCATAGTTGGACACTTACCTCCTTGAGCGGAAGAGTGGGAACTTTGGAACCGGTGTTGATGCCACGTGTTGTCAGGGCCAGAAAGGAGGGGAGGTTGGAGGGGCGACGCACGCGAGAAAAGACGGACAGCATATTGGTTGACGTGGGAATGCACACGGAGTCGTATCTGTCAGTGGGATGGTGCAGGTCATGTATTCGTGAAAAGTGCTTTTCCCGGTGTCTCATGCACCCCCCGAATATGACATGCTTGCGTCTAGCTGGCCTTCAGCGAGTCTTACAAAGTAAGCTAGTAGCAAATGCTCCTCTCTACCAGAGGCGCCGCCCGCAACGATGAATTACAGAAATCCTTCGCAACTTTTCGCATTCCATTCACAGGTATTGCAAGGCGCGTCTTTGTTTCGGTCTACTGCACGTATCGGTGAGTTCCATGCCCCTTTTTTATCATTGACGAGGAGGCACGATGGTCAGACACGAGCACGGCTTTGGGAGTCATGATGGTGCCCAGTCACCTGATTTAAGGGGCTACATTCATGTTCGACCGAAAGTGATGCATGCATTTCGATTGACAAATTTGAAACCAAATGCGGGGTTGCTGTTGGTCAGACGTATCATATAGTGCCTTTTGCATTGCGAGGGCTCCACTTGTACTACAGTTTCTTATCTGCAGTTTTGAGGGAACTTCGCGCTTTAGACGTTTAACACTGGCATGTATCATCTCAAATATAGGCAAGTGGGCGCATACTCAGCACTATGGGGATTGTAGACAGGATAAAGGAAATCGAGGTATACGAAAGAGGGAAGCAGGTCATGCAACAGGGGTGAAAAGGCTTGTATCAGTCAAATCTGACGTAGTTTTGTGGAAATAATCTTGTTGAAAAGCCAGAGTGAAAAATCAAATATTCTTGACGCTATTTTCTCCTGTATCTCTATGGTCCTACGTCTTGTGCGCGTGCACCCCGTGGTCTATGCCGCCTTCCCAGGAGGAGATGGCCCGGACCCAGAAAAATAAAGCCACGGAGCACCATCTGGGCGCCCTGAAGGCCCGTTTGGCGAAGCTTCGGTCCGAGCTCTTGTTGGAAACTGGGAGCAAAGGACCTGGGGGCGCTGGTACCGGGTTTGAAGTGGCCAGGAGTGGGGACGGGCGTGTGGCGTTGATCGGCTTCCCCTCCGTGGGGAAGTCCTCCCTTTTGAATACCTTGACCGACACGGGTGGGTGGAGGCGGGATGGAGGGCGGGGAGAGCGTGCAAGAGGCAGGGAGGGAGGGGCTTGCAGAAAGTAGGACGCCGTTGCTCGCGTCATTTTGGAGCAAGTGGACCGATGGTGTAGAAATGGAGAGGGAAGGGTGGAGGCGATGGATGCTGCGCGTAGAAGCCCGTCGCGGACCCATCTCTCTCTCTGACGACCGTACAAGGGGAAGAGGCCTGCCGCATAAGTGTTGGTTTTTTTGCGTTGTACGCAGGCTCCCTCTCTTGTCGTCCCGTCCTGGGTCCCGCTCTCCCTCTGTCCCCCATCCCCCCTTTGCCCTGCTTCTCCCCTCTGTTCACCGGCATCCACCCCTTTCCTTCCCTTCCGGTCGAATTTCTTTCTATCTTCAGAATCTCAAGCCGCCGCCTACGAGTTCACCACGCTCACGTGCATACCGGGCAACATTATCTACAACGACACCAAGATTCAACTGCTCGACCTGCCGGGTAGGGCCTTAGTCCGGTCTGGGAGGATTCAGGGCGGGCACTTCATCTCTTTGCGCGTTTTTTCACCCACGTCCTCCTGGCATGGGGAGGGGGTTCTCACACGCTGTCGCTTGTGCCAACGCCACACGGATGAGGATGGTCCCTGTCGCCAAGACACAGAATCGCCCACTGTCATCCCTCCCTCCCCGCTCCCTCCCCCCCTCCCCTTGCTTTCTCTTCCCCCTTCAGGAATCATCGAAGGCGCAGCGCACGGGAAAGGGCGTGGGAAGGAAGTGATTGCCGTGGCCCGCTCCTCGGACCTCGTTCTCATGGTCCTGGACGGAGGCAAGGAGCAAGTCAACAACCACCGTGCCATCCTCGAGCGGGAACTCGAGACAGTGGGGCTCCGGCTGAACAAGAAACCGCCCAACATTTATTTTAGAAAGAAGAAAGACGGTGGGGTCAAGTTTAACTCGACGGTGAGAGGGAAAGCTGTTAGAGTATTGGTGGCGAAAAGGTCCGGGTAGCCGGGAGGGTACCTTCCAGGGCTCTCCACCAGGTCCTGTGCACGCAATCCTGGCGCCAACGCCCCCACGTTCTGAACAAAAAGCCCCCGCAATCCCCCATGATCCTCTTACCCAGGTGCCGCTCACACAGCTGGGGCCCGACCCGGCCTTGACCGTCGGGCGCATCCTCTATGAATACAAGATCCACAACTGCGAGATGCTCCTGCGGGAGGACGTCTCCACGGACCAAGTCATCGACGTGATCGAGGGCAATCGGTAGGTTTTCCCTTGTCCTTCTGGAAGTGCCGCGGACCCCGCCGGACGCGGGTGGCACCTCTTCAGGCCCTTTCCGGCCGCGGAGTGGTTTCCATTTTCATCCCTTCGCGCACTCTTGGAGTGCCTTTGCGTGTCTCCTTTGGTTCCCGTCTGCTGGCTTTCCTTCCCTTGCTCCCCGCTCTGCGACTTCCCCTACGGCTGAGTCCACTCCTTTCCTTCCCTTCCCAGGAAATACGTCAGGTGCCTGTACGCCTACAACAAGATCGATACCATCACCATCGAGGACGTGGACAGGCTGGCTCGGGAGCCTGACGCCATCGTCATCTCCGTCCGCCACAAGCTCAACCTGGAGGTGAGCCCGAGGAAGAGGCGGGAAAAGGGGCCTCCATGGGGGTCGTCGGCCCCTTTTTTCCCCCATTTCCTCCCTGAGTCATTCGATCTCCCGTCTTCCTCACGCCTCCCAGCGCCTCCTCGAACGCATGTGGGACTACATGGGGCTAATCCGCGTCTACACGAAACGGCGAGGCGCCCCCCCCGAGTTCAAAGAGCCGCTCGTCATGTCCAGTGAGAGGAGAGGAGTGACTGTGGAAGTGGCTTGCGAGAATATCTCCCGAGGTGAGTACCGCGTCGAGCCTGCGCATACCTTGGACTGGACTTGGCGCTTCCAGCGACGCCTCCCCAGGCCGTGTGTGTGGAGACGTCCGGTAGCATTGGGATGTCTCACGCCCTGTCACTTGCCCTCTGTACCTGTTCACGTGTTGTCTCTCTTAAGGAAGCCTTGGAATGCATAGTCTCACGCCCTGTCACTTGCCCTCTGTACCTGTTCACGTGTCAACAGAGCTTTCTGAAATATTCAACTACGCCTTGGTCTGGGGTCGTAGCACAAAATATGACCCGCAACGCTGCGGCTTGCAGCATACATTGGAGGATGAGGACGTTGTACAGGTGGTGGGTAAGACAGTGACGCAG